TAAACAATGCAAAAATTAGATCTAAACCAAAATCCTAAATCCAAGCACTTCCTAAAGACAATCAAAAGTGCCTCTCACCTCCACCAATGTGAGTGTTTGGAATATGGAAAGGGAATACAGAAAATGTTCATATCAATACAGAAGTGAGTGGTCTGGATTGAAACTAATCCGACAGTTACCAAAATCCCACTACGCTAATATTAGTATATGGCATCGTAGCCGTACACTTGGCCCTCACAATATAAAAATATATAATATATTTTTTAAAAATATATCCACTCCTATTGCCTAGATTGGTAATTTATTTTAGCCACCTTAACATATCTACTAGGCAAAAATACTCAATCCCTAGTTCAATTGCAAAATTCTGGAATGTGAAGGAGAAAGAATTTATAGTAATCTACAATCTCAGCTATAGTGTGATCATGATCAGTAATCACTCAATTAAATCTACACTTCAAGGACCATGGTTGGCATGGAGCATAGGTTAGACATTTTTTCACCACATGCTTTATGTTGTAAACTTTTTCATAGCATGTGGAGCAAAAGCAAATATCATGTGGTAGCAAAGGTTTCAAATAGTATCTATGTTTTATCATCAATCTTTAACATCCTTTTTTGCCTTAGTTTATAGGTGACTAAGATTTTTCAATTGGTAGGTGGTGAGGTCATCATAGATTTTCAAATTGAATTAGCACTTGGGGACTGATGGTGTTTGTGTAAATTCCAAAAAGGACAATATTTTTCATCTAGTCATCACATTGATGTTAGAGGGATTGTTATTCTAAAACTTGAGTTGCTATATTAATTGTGTTGTCAGTGTGAAAAAGTTGTGGCCTTGGTGGTTGTCTATGAATCTGAACATTTCATATCAAAGTCTAAATTATATTCAAATAAAGCCAAGAAAAAATGGTTAAAATTACATTGAAATATGTGTTTAATATCAATAGTATAAGAAATTACATTTCATTTTACAAGATATTAAGATAATAAATTTATCAAAATCTAGTTGTAAACATTTTCCATGATTTATTTTAATGAATATGAACATAAAATCACTAAAATTTCTCTTCTTTAACAAACTTCTTAAATGATCTGTTTAATTATTAAACTTAACGTCTTGCTAGTTCCATTTAAAAGGTAATAAAATAAACACTATCTCTATTTAAACCATTTTTAAATAAATAATAATAAATGAAATTTTTTTTTAGCTTTTCTTTGCTGGCTTATGAAATGTTATAATTCTAAAAAGATTTTACAAAATAATTAGATATGGAGAAATACGAAAATTCTTCAGGTTTTTACAAATATTAAGTTTTTAATATATAATTTTATTAAGAAATAATACATAATTAATTATGAATTATTTGAAGCTTTAAAACTAAGTGTAATATTATAAAGTACAGGCATGCTATAATTCATCAATAATATAAAAATTATCATGGAATTTATAAGGGTTTAGTTTTGCTAAAAGATTTGAGAAATTAGTATACTACTTCAAATGAATAAAATAATATATCAGAAAACAAATAATAATAATAAAATAAAACAAAATATTTAGTAAATTAATATTTTAAATAACTAAGAATTACTAGAATTTATTCAATATTTGACTTTAATGTATAATGTTTTATAATCTCTTTTAAAAATGATTTTTTAAATTTGAACTAAGTTTAAAAGCATATTATAGTTGCAATTTTGTCAAATTTGATTACAAATATTTTACTATTGTATATATTTAAAATACATATAATAACACAATAATATCCAAGCATCTAACCTATAATAAAATTAAATGACCTTTTCTTTTGTGAACAAATACTCTTATAAAATAGTATAATATTTTTAAAATTTTTATTATTCTAAATATCTATATAAATATTTTCTCTTAAATAAGTATATGACTTATTTTTTTAATATATAATAAGAAAAAATCCATATGAATTAAATCATTTAAGGTTATTTAAGTTTTTATGTATTCTATAATTCCATTTGAAGATTCACCTTTTCAGTCAGTGTAATTTTTAAAGAAAACTGTATATAAGAATAAATAACTAATCTAGAGATCAATTATTTAATCTTTAAAAGTTTTAATAATTTTGTTTTTAGCTATATAAAAAACTTTAACATTAAACTAGCTAAAGAATAAGAAATTGAATTTTTATTTTGTAAGGCCTAATGCCTGCCTTAAATCAATCTTCACACCTATTGTACTTATAAGTAAGCAAGGAGAATGATGTCAAATCACTTTCCCCACTTATTATGCTTGTAAGCAATTAAAAAAAATGACTTGAAATATGATCCATAAGAGTTTAGAGCAAAAGAACTTATAAGTAAAGTACACCCTTTTTCCTATTGGTTAAAAGAGTTAGAATACTTGGGGTTAAGAGTATTTTGATTTAAGTAGTATTGAGTTGGTTGACTCCTTAAGAAGTCTAGAGTTTAAATTTGAATAATATTGACTCTATTGGTTGGGAATCAGAGGAGTATTAACTCTGATTCTATTGATTGGTTATAGGGGTTAATATATTTAGTTTCCTATTTGACTCTAGTGATGCCAATAACTCTATTGGTTGGTTAAAGACATTTAGTTTACCATTTGGCTTTAGTGATGCCAATATAAGTTTTAACTTAGAACCAACTTTTAGGTTATAAATGTTCTAGAGGTGGTGGTAAATAATTGTTCACAACTGATAAACTATTTCAAAGTTTGAGCTCTATACATACCTTGATAATGTTTCATGACCACCTTCATCTGTTTTCAGGATTGTTAGGACAAGAACATCTCTAGATGCATTCATAACTCTGGATCGAACTATTTATACTAGCACCAAAGTGGCTCTTGATATATTGGGTCACATGAATATGTAGCTTTTGCATTTTTTCCAACATGATGGAGTTTTAGAAGAATATACTATGGCAAATTTTTCACCAATAATACAATCATATAGGAGATAGAAATTCTTTAATGCCCTAAAGAACCACATGTGTGTCAAGTGTGTTAAGTTCTTGCAAAACATGGATATAGACATGGTGATAAATAGCTCATCTTTGCTATCAATTGACAGAGCTCCTTTTTGCAAGGAGGCAATAATGGAAATTGCCTATAGTGTCATCAAGCCTATAGTTCTTTAATCTCTTAATCAACCAATAATGTGGATTTATTTTAATTAACTTATAAGTTCTTTATTATAAACATCAATCATATGGAGTACAAAACCTGGTGCAAAAGGTAATCAATGTTTAGAAGATTTGATAATATATAATGATTATTATTTATGATCATACAGATTAATTTGGATAAATTATTAGGTTTCTGTTTTATTATGTATTCAATGTAATTGTTTATGACTCAAATCATAAATAATTTTCTACCCAATGCATATAGCAATTTTGTTTGCTTAATAGTAGTGTTTATAATTATTAATAAAATTGATCATTTGGAAGTTTTTAATTATATTCATGTTTATAATTTATGAGTACATGATTAATCTTATTATATATCAACCATTAAAATAAACTAGAATATACTATAAGTGTTTAGGACAGTTTAAAAATTATAAACACAAGATTAATCTAAATGAATAAAAACTGTTGGATGATAAAATATCCTAGAATATCCAGGCTCCTTTCTTAGAATGGTGAAATCTTGTGTTTTGCTTTCAATATTGTTATTGTGCTCAAGAATTAGGTAAGACTACATCCCTGACTGCGTACCTCCGAATTTGGCATTGCCACAGTTAGTGTGCAGCATTTGATTCTAATAGCTCAAGTAGGAAATCTGCACATATGTGTGTGTGTGAGAGAGAGAAAGAGCGCCATGCCCCATACCAATATCATAATAACATTTTGCATAGGATTATAATATTATGTGAAACAAAAATGCAAATAAAAATTCTCACACCTAAAATATGCTCTGGTGGAAATTCTGCACAAGAATGTGTTGATGGAAAGAACTATTCCATTAGAGTGGTTCCATACTGCCCATTTGAAGCAATTGTGCAACATTGTCCACTGCAGAAAAGTTAGAGCCCCTAGTGAGTTCCAGTAAAAAGATCACACCTACCAAGTTTGATTATCAGCCAAAGCTTGATTATTAGTTGCCAATGGCCTTGATCAGTGGCGCCTACATTATGGAGATTGAGCTGGGCACCTCACCCAAGAAATTCAAGGTGAATGGTGACACAGGTAGTGATCTCATGTGATTGAGAACTGTGCTTGTAGTGCTATAGTCAAAATGAGCAAGTTCTTCCTTCTCCCAGATATCATACTCCACATCTAATTACTAGCTAAGCACACCAAGAATTTATATGTGGTGCTGATATGTAACATGCTCATGTATGCTCATGCCTTAGATAAAAAACGTTCAGTCTTAGCGTCATGCAAATTTAATCATAATTTGATTCCAATAGATATCTAGATAAAGAATAAAATATAATAAAACATACGACACATCATATTATCCTCATCCTCTAAAGCTAAACACTATAAGATGATTTAAATGTCTGCAAATACAATGATGTTGTTAAGCTTTTGATCACCTTTGGATCAGCTTCTTTTCTCTAGATTTGAGGTCAGATATTCTCAAGCATAATATTCACCAGTCTTTATGCTCTTACCACGTTCATTCCTTCAACATCTAAACCATGTATGGAAAACTCCCATACTTTTAATGAACCAATTCTTTCAAAAGGGGGGTCAGACTTATTCACGTGACCAAATGAAAGTGGTAAAATTTTAGTACACGCCCCCCTTTTGCATAAATGCTTTTGGCCTTCGGCCGGCTCGCGCAATCCAAGCCCTCCATTCTTTGTGCTGACGGCGCAGATGCTAGCAAACCGACACAAGCAGGATCCTTGTGACCCACGTACGCCGTTGGATAGGGACGTGATCGGACGGCTAATGAGACGGCTAAACAGAGCCCAAATATTTTTCTCTGTAGGTCACATCGCAGGATCTTCTCACTGCGAGGAAGAATGTAGGTGCGATTATCGATCGATCGATCGATCGAGCGAGCGATCACTTCGCACACGGCAATCGGTGGCGGCGCAGCAGCTCTCTCGCTCCAGCGATGGGTCGGACTCCTTGCTGCGACAAAGCAGCTGTGAAGAAGGGGCCGTGGTCTCCCGACGAGGATGTCCGGCTGCGAGATTACATCCAGCGCCATGGCACGGGAGGCAACTGGATCACTCTGCCTGGCAAAGCCGGTGAGTTCTTGGATTCTTGGAAGGGAGGGATTCCACGCTCGGGCCGCGCGATGGTCGCAAGAAAGCTCGAAATTTCGGTGGAGTCCGATGCAATGCGTGCTAATCGAGCTCGGGTTTCGTGGATCGCAGGCTTGAACCGCTGTGGGAAGAGCTGCCGGCTGCGATGGGTGAATTACCTCCGGCCGGATATCAAGCGCGGGAGTTTCACTCCCGAGGAAGAGAAGCGCATTTGCGATCTCCATGCCAGCATTGGCAGCAGGTACTCCCATCTCTTCTTGCTCGGGATTTCATGCTTCCATTTGCCTGAAACGTCTCTTCTTGTTTGATTTGAGAGGATTTGGGATTGATTGATCGAGAATTCGAACTGATCAATCTTTTTCTTTCTTTCTCCTTTGTAGATGGTCGGTGATTGCCGCTGAGCTCCCCGGTAGAACGGACAACGACATAAAGAATCACTGGAACACAAAGCTCAAGAAGAAAAATCTCTCGCCTTTTCCGACTTCCACGAAGGCATCGCCCATGGCGGAGAGCTTGCAGAGAGCCATGGAGGCGGTGAAGAAACCGGAGGCAGCGATCAACGCCAAGAGCGACGATCCACCTCGCAAAACGCGATCGGGAAGAGCAAAACCACAGCCTGCCAGTGCCAGCGACGTTCTAGAAGATCATCAAGATCGACGAAGTTCTCACACTTCCAGTTCTTCCGCGATCACTCCTGACACCAAAACCAACAAAGCGAGCAGCAGCAACAGCAGTACCAGCAGCGGCATCACCACCGCTTTCCACGAGGATTGGGCCGCCGAGAACTTCCATCTCCTTCTTCCCAAGATGGAGCTAGAAGAAGACTGTTCCAAGCACCAAGAACACGAGTTTGAGCGACGAGACCACCTCCATCGCCAACTCAATCGCCGTGCTAGCACTGTCCGAGAGATCATCGACGCTGGCCACCTCGATGCTCTGGCGAGGAATCTCGCAGCGGTGGACGAGTCCTTCTTCGATCCAAATTGGTGGTCTTCCCTCGTGATCTCTCCCAAACTTCCAGGAGAGAGAGCTCTCGATTCGATCTTCGCTAGCAGCGGACACTGTTGTTAGCTTTTGGAAGGAACCTCGCGTTCCATTTTTTTCCTCTCAATCTTAACAAATATCCACTTCTTTCTATCATGATCTTGATCATAGCTCTTATCCATCATCGTTGTATTTACATTTGAGAAAACCATGAGAGTTCTGAGAGAGCCAATTCTCCCATGAACATCCACAACTCTACCACCTTTTAGATCGAGAATCTATCGACGATGTCCCAAAGGACGCTCCTCATCTTGTCCAGCGACAGCGGCCTGTAGAGCACCGCCACAAATCCCAGCTTGAGAAGATGCTCTCTCGCGCTCGCGTCCGCGTCGGTGGTAAGCGCCACCAGCAGTGGCCTCTCGTTGATCGGGACCTCCTGGAGCTCCGCCAGGAGATCCAAGCTCTCCTGCTGCTGCCAAGGCGGGCTCGATGACAAGTCGAGCACTGCTACTCTGAACCGCGGCCCCGGAGGATGGCGGACGAGTTGCAAGCACTGCTGGATGGACATGGCCTCGGTAACGTCGCAGCCCAGTCGGAGCATCACTCCTCTGGTCATGACGTTGCCGCCAGTTTCACTCACCAGGAGGAGTTTGAGTCCGCTCAAGCTCATCGATCCTTGCAGTTTGTGCTGCTGCTGCTGCTGCTGTAGTTGTAGTTGCTGTTGCTGATCGGGTTTGTCTGACTTTCCGAGTTTCACGAGGATTGTCACGGTCGATCCCTTGCCGAGGCCCTCGCTCTCGATCCAGATGTGGCCCCCCATCAAGCTTACAAACCTGGAAAGAGCGTGATGAGAAGCTTTTTCTTTATTCTAAAGAAGCTAGCAGCTTTTACCTTTTGCATAGTGCTAAGCCCAGGCCTGGACCGCTCCGCTTGTTGACTTGGACAAACTTTGTGAAGAGCTTGGGGATGTCTTGGGAGCGTAGGCCAATGCCAGTGTCCTTTACCTGCCGTTGCAAAGATGCCGCGGTTAAGAAAAAAGTTTTGTGTGGGTGGAGAGCTTACTTGTATTCTAATGTAAAAGTGAGAATCGCCCTGTGTTGGAAGGAACTCTGGTGCTCTAGGATCTCGCGAGTACTCCGGCCTCTCCATGCAAGCGGACACAGTGATACTTCCATCCTTCGTGAACTTGACGGCATTTCCTATGATGAATAGAACGATCTGCAAGAGACGCTTCTCGTCTCCAACAGCAAATTCCGGAAGGTCGGCAGCCAAATTCATGGTGATGTAAAGCTTCTTCACAGCAGCTATTGGCTTCACAAGGTTGTAGACCTGGACAACAACACAATTAAAAATTGAAACAACAAAAAGAGAGAGACCGGAGACAAACCTCTCGGAAGAGAAACAGAAGGTTGAATGGAGCAATCTCGAGTTGGAAGCTGCCATCTTCGAGCTTGGAGAGGTCCAAAACATCGTCTATAAGCTTGGCCAAAAGCCTGCTATTGCGTAGGATGGTCTCCACCATCGACCGTTGCTCCGCATTGAGCTGGCTGTCCTGGAGGAGCGACGAGAGAGTTATGATCGTATGCATGGGAACACGCATCTCGTGATTCATGACAGCCAGGAAATCGTTGCAAGCGGACACGGCAGTCTCTGCCTCCTGTCGAGCAGCGTCCAGCGCTATGTTTTGCTCCACTAGCAAGTCTCGGGACCGTATGGATTCCTCCAATATTGCCGCGTGGGAGAGAGCGACGGCAACCTGCAAAGCAAATCACCAACTTAGAGGAAAAAGTAAAGAAAAAGGAATCAAATAAGAGACCACTTGCCTGGTCGGCGACGACTTCCACAAGCTCAAGCTCGTGAATGCGCCACCTTCGCGCGCTATCTGACGGCAATATCAAAACCAGCAGCGCATACGGACCTTTGGCCGGCTCGGGCCAGTCGACGATTGGAAAGTTCACCATGCGCAAGAGCGGCACGCGCACAGCAACAGCATCTCCAGAAATGTATTTCCCAGCGTGTGTTCTTGTCATGGCCACAGGGCTGCTGGACGGAATGACCACCGCGCGATTGCTGCTGAAAACCTGTCGCAGCGTTGGGTGGTGTATCGGCACGATCCCAACGTTGGCCTTGCTCAGCTGGCGAAGCGAGTGTGTGAGCTGAAGCTCGAGACCGTTTCTAGTCGGCATCCACAGCGTGCATTCTTCCAGAGCCAAAGCCTTCCCGAGCTCGACCAGCGTGGAGTTGAGAATGGTGTGCCTGTCTAGCGTGCTCCGGATCTCCTGCGTGAGCATTCTTACGTGCCGGCCAGCCTCTTCCTGCGTCCGGATGATCCCCATCTCCCTGTCCAGCTCGTCCGCCTTGTTCTTGAGGAAGAGCTCGCGGGTCTTGACGCTGAGCAAGTCGGGGATGATATGGACGAGCATGAGCGCTGTGGCGCACGAAACCACCGCTGTGAGAATTTTCGCGACTGTCATCACGGTCGCCATTGTTCTCGAGTGAGAGCCCAGCGTCCAGAGGCTGATGAAATGCGTAGCTCCACACAGGACGATGAAGGCACCAAACTGTACGAGCACCCAGCGGTATGGAAACAAGGCGGATTTCTTGACGAAGTAGATGAGCTCGATCGGAATGGAGAAGTAGGCGAGCGCAATGAAGAAATCCGCGATGTACTGGTACCGGATGTGGATGTCATCGGACGACCACTGCGGCTCGATGATGCAGTTGCAATCCATCTTGCTCCTCCTCTTCCTCCTGCGCTACCTCCTAGGCCCTTGCCCCTAATCCCTGGCTGTGATTCTCACTCCTGGCCGATCCAGACGCCATTGGAATGGAGAATTTCGGAATGACGAGGTGGAGATTACCGCAGAATCTCACTCTCCCGATTTCGAGCTGACAGGAGCTCCTAGCGGCGCGGCCGTGCTTACCTCGCGCTCGAGATTCCAGCGCCTCGATCGTGGCCAAAACCCTAGACGAAGAGACAGAGAGAGCTCCTCCACTAGCTGCATTCCGTGGAGCATATTGCTAGTAAAAGTCGAAAGCATTCACGGAAAGAGAAAAACTTCACGGACCAGGCATATAGATGATCCCGGACCGTTGATCCTGTAAAATCGCATTCCCAGCCGTCGGATCAAAATCACAGTTTTACCCACTTTCCCGCGGGTCTCGAGCCGGCGACTTTCTCTCGAGGTATATTCTTTTTCCCCTTGAGGTATATGCTTTTTCTCTTGCTGAGGATTAGGGTTGAAGTGCTGCTCGATCGATCGATAGGCGCTGGCGCAGATCCGGCGCTGCGCAATGCCGGTGTAGGAGGCGGCGAGAGGTTTGTGTGCCGGACGGGAATTTCGCGTCGCTGTGCAATGCGAAATGGCGGATCCAGCAGCTTTCGATTTCTTCTTCCAGCAGGCCGATGTGGATCGGGATGGGAAGGTGAGTGGCGCCGAGGCAATCCACTTCTTCAAGGGATCGAATTTGCCTCAGCCTGTTCTTGCCAAGGTAATGTAAATAGCGATGTATTTTCCTTGTTTTTATTCTTTCTTTTGCTCTTTGTAGATTTGGCATGCTGCGGACAATGGCCATACCGGGTTTCTCTCGCGACCAGAGTTTTATAACGCCTTGAAGCTCGTCACGGTTGCTCAGTCTGGACGAGAGCTGACGCCGGAGATCATGAGAGCGGCGCTCGTCGGGCCGGCGTCGCTCAAGATTCCATCTCCAAAAATTCAGCTCCCCGCGGGCCAGCAGTCGCAAATCCCAGTTCCTGGACAACAGGCACCACCACCTCTTCCAGTTTCAACGACGCAAGTTACTGTTCAACCTGGTAGGACTTCGTTTAGCAGTGGACCGCCACCTCCACCACTTCAAGGCTCTCTACAACAAAATGCATCGTTTAGCGTCGCACAGCCAGCTCCCGGTGCTTTACCAAGACCATCGTTTACCGGCGGCGGCGCGTCACAGCCACCATCGTATACCGGTGCTACCACGCTACAACCACAGCAGGGACCATCTTTTCCCGGTGCTACCACGCCACAACCACAGCAAACACCATCGTTTGCCAGTGCTACCGCGTCACAGCCATCATCATCGTTTGCAAGCGCTCCTTTACCACAACCACAGCAAACACCGTCGTTTCCTACGCAACTGCAGCAAGCACCATCGTTTGCTACCAATGCAAACACGCCACAGCTTCAGCAAACACCATCGTTTGCCACTGCTCCTACACCACAGCCTCAGCAAACTCCTCGGGCACCGGTGTATCAACAGCAACCTCCAGTACAAAGCGTTCCAAGACCAGGTTCTTCCGGTGGACTTGGAGCAGAATCTTGGCGGCCAAGCAGTGTGCAAGGTCAGCTCTTTTCATCGGCAACCCCAGTGAGACCAACAACTTCAGCTATACCCAATCAAAGTTTTTCTGTCAACAATGGCCCGAGCACCAACTTTGCTTCCCAGCAAGGTCCTGGTGCTCCTCCGGGGTTGCGGGCTGGAGCTGGAGCTCCCGATGGAGCTAAAGCCTCTGGAGGATTTAGTCCCTTTGGCAACGACGCGTTTTCCGTGAGCTCTACTACAGCAAGACCGGCGATTGATCAGAACTTTGTTGCTTCATCTCCGTTGACACCGAGACAGCCGTCTCCTGGAATGTCCCCGCAAGCGCCGCCTCCTAAAGTCATGCACGGTTTCAGACCGCCAATGGGGTCTGCATGGCCTAAGATGACAGCAAACGATGTACAGCGCTACTCTCGAGTTTTTACGGACGTTGACACAGATAAAGACGGGAAGATCACAGGCATACAAGCACGGGATCTCTTCTTGAGCTGGAGACTTCCTAGAGGTATTTTATTTTGTCAGACGTGCATTGGCTCTTAACTTTCTCTCCAGACGTCTTGAAGCAGGTTTGGGACCTATCGGATCAAGATGGCGATAGCATGCTTTCTTTTCGGGAATTCTCTACGGCTTTATATCTGATGGAACGGCTCCGAGAAGGCCGCCCTTTACCTCCTGTTCTTCCAGCGGGCTTTCATTTTGACGATGGCACTCCTCAGTCTCATCTTGCTGCTGCACAAGGCTATAATCAACCTTCTTGGCAGCGCAATGCAAGTACGTTCATTCTTTCCTTTTCGTACTGGAGTATGAATTAACACAAACGAACAGGACCAGGTATGCCTCCAGGACTTGTTCCGCAAGAACAATTCGGCATGCCAGGTGCATTTCAAGGACAACAGACAGGAAGACATGCTAGAGCCAGACCCAGGGGTGCGGAGTTTAATGGCAGTGACAAGGTAAATTAATCAATAAAGACGTGGGGGCAACCTGACTTTCTGTTATTTGCAGCCAAATCAAAGTGAGGGGAAAGTTTTGGATTCAAAAGAAAAGCTTGAATATTATCGTAACAAGCTACAGGAAATCGTAAGGACGTCGTCGAGTTTTCTTTTTTTTTTTCTCCTGTGGTAACATTCTGTATGCAGGTGTTATTCAAAAGAAAATGTGACAACCGTTTATCGGAGATCACTGACAGAGCGGCTGCCGAAAAACGCGAGGTGGGAGGTCCTATTAGTTCTTTGTTTATCTGGTTGGGAACGTCGATTTTTGTGTGTAGGAGGAAATCATGGCGAAGAAGTATGAAGAGAAGTATAAGCAGGCACTGGAAGTGAATTCACGTTTGGTGTCTGAAGAAGCAGCCTTTCGCGAAACACAGGTCTGCTTGTGCCTAAGATATGCATACTAAAAAATGGTCTCTTCAGACTCTCAAATCTGAGCTTCGGAGTGCGATTGCTGAAATTGAACGCGGGGGAAATCCAAATGCGCTGCTCCAGGTTACGCACAGAATTATTTATGCCTGCTCTGATTTTTTTTTCCCTCTCCAACAGACTCGTGCAGATCGTATTGCAAATGACCTTGATGAACTTGAGAAGGCGTTGGTCCAGCGTGGTAACCTTCTTGGGCTTCAAGTTAGCGGGACAGCCAAAGTTGAGCTTCCATTTGGTAAGTGAAACAATCAGGACATTTATAGCTTATGCTGACGCGTGGATTGACAGGATGGCAGCCAGGGCTTCAAGAAAATGCCGTTGAATGGGATGAGGACTGGGATAAGTTTGATGACGAAGGTTGGCAATTGTTTATTTCCCATTCGCATATTTACTTATAATTCATGCAGGATACAACACGATTCAAGGGATTATGGACGAGCAACCTGTATCTGGAACAGCCTCACATCCTGGCTGGGACGAGAATAGCATGTTTGCTGATGGCTTTGACTTTGCATCCGAGCCCATTCACGCGGAGGAAAACTTTGATAAAGGGCCTGCTGACTCGCCGCACGCAGAAAGCGAAACGAGCTCCATCAAAAGTGGTGTTGATAGCCCACAGTGGTCTCCAAAAGGTTATCCGTCCAAGAGAAGCATTCCTGGAAGTTCTCCTTTGTCAGCCAAAGCAGATCACAGGCAAGGACGTAAATTTCTGACTTTTTGTTTTTCTTCTAATATACGTCTTGTAGCTTTGAGTCGCACGAAGACGAGCCGCCCTTCCATTCTTCAAGGTTTGCTCTTCGATTTCATGGTAATGAACTTTTGTTTCGACTCGTTCTCTTTTGCAGCTTTGATCAAGATCCATCTTTTGACTCAACGGATCACTACGAAGAAACTCCTTGGACTAGCGCGTTCGGCAACCCAAACGAGGATGTGTGGGGTCTAGGGACCGACTCTCCATCTTCCTCTTTCCAGGTACTCTATAACTTGTTATTCTGATTTGGTGTCATCATAACACAGGCGTCTTTCCTTCAGCCTTTAGCGGTTAAAACCCGATCAGAAAGAGACTCTTTGGACTTGGGATCGATAAACATAAGCTCTCCTGCTCACAGCGAAGCCAAGAACGAAGGCGACTTCTTTGGCAAAAAGGAGTGGAACGATTGGCCTGGTGACACCAACAGCACTTCAGTGCCAAGCACTCCGTTGTTTAAGAGTGAGTCGCCAAAACATGAAGGCTCGTATTTCGGTCAACCGAGCCGGCTTGAGTTATGATATGATGCAACGCTTGTAGATTGAGGTACCTTTTGTTGTAATTGGTTTCTCCCACTCACTTTTGCAGTGGTTATTTCTATACACATTTTTTCGATTGCGATTATAAGAGCAAGAAATGTGGATCTTAAGGGTACTGACTTATTCATTGCCTTTCCAGTGAAGCATAGAAACTTAAAGATTGGAGGTGTGCTAGAACCAAACAATCTCAGGTAGCATATCTCTTCCCCTCTCTTTGTGAGGTTCTTAGTATCATTTGTTCTTACAAGTGACGGGAAGTATTTGGCATTCAAGGTAGTTATGGACACCCTTTGGACAAAGATCATTCAAGTTTAAAGCACTCCTCAAAGCTCTTGTGGCGCAGTCCCAAAACATTCGACATGCGATCACAGAAGTGTGTAGTTACATTGTAGCAGGTTCTTTAGAATATTTTTTTTTTTTCCGTTTTTGTTTTTCTCTTCTTTTGTACACGTAATTTACAGCGACGGGGGTTCAATACCCTTCCTAAGAACTTTCACTTTAAACCGAGGTGTCGTAACTACCGCCTCTTCACGTCTCGCGCGCTTCGTCTCCTTCGGTTTTCCAGCTTCTCATGTGTCTGATCTAAAGGTATGCGCCTTGTTCTTTCTGTGTTTGCCACAAAATTTTGTTTTCCTCTACCGCAGGAAAACCGCTTATCATGACGCGGGGGCTACTTTTCTTGCTGGTGCTGCTCTTCATGAGTAGCATCGTCAGCTGTAAGTTGTAGTTGCTGCAAATGAGTGCCCGAGATTATATCTTTTTCTTCATAATGCAGGTGACTTGGAGTGCGAGGATTTGCCGGCGGAGGATTGTGCATTTGCGGTCTCGTCGTCGGGAGCCAGATGCATGCTTCAAAACGCAACCAACGAACTGAAATGCGAAGTATAAGTCTTTCGTAGCTGCTTGCTTTGAGCTCATCACAGCTGGATTTTTGTTGCAGACGTCCATGGTCATGTCGGACAAAAGAGTGGAATGGATTGAGAGTAGCGAGTGTATGCAGTCGTGTGGGGTCGACAGAATGACGGTTGGAATGTTCCCAGACGCGTTGCTAGACAAGTCTTTTCTTCCCAAGCTCTGCAGCCCGAGCTGTCAGATCAGCTGCCACAACGTTTTCGATCTTTACGTTAGTCTCGCCGTTGGCGAAGGTAACACTTTTCACTTGAGAGAAAAAGGCTTGAAGTTTTATCTCTTTCCTTACCAGGTTTCTACTTACCGAGTCTCTGCCAAACACAACCTGTGAGGGTGCACAGAAAGATGAAGGTCGACTCGACTCCTCTTATCAAGCCTCCGGACGAGAGTCTTCCAGCTCCAGCTCCAGCGCCCGAATTATCAGCAGCTCAAGGAAGTGTCCCCGCGGGCTCGCCGTCGCCAACGTCAACTCCATCTATTCAAGCACCAGCAATTCAAGTACCAGTTCCAGCACCAGCACCAGCAATTCAAGCACCGGTTCCAGCACCAGAACAGGCAGAAGCAGTGCAAGCACCAGTTCCAGCGCCGCAGCAAGTCCAAGCACCGGCTCCAGCACCAGAGCAGCCACCGGCACCAGCACCAGCTCTTCCAGTTTCAATCGCGGCTCCGGCACCAGAGCTAACTCTAGCTCCAGCCCCGGTTTTACCGGCGGAGGAGCCTGTTCCATTCTCGCCAACTTTGACACCAGCCGAGGAGCCTTTCCAGCCTTTCCCATCTCCGCCAACTTTCGGACCGGCAGAGGAGCCGTATCCATCGCCAGTGGTGGCAGCACCAGCGGAAGAGCCAGCTCTAGCGGAGGAGCCAGCTCCGGCTGAAGAGCCAGTCCAAGCTCCGGCCGAGCAACCAGCCGAAGCTCTTGCTCCATCTCTAGAAGACGGCGGCTGGTCTGAAGAAGTCGAAACTCCAGCGCCGGCTCCAGTGGCTGCCTTGGCCGAGGCGGAGGCTCCTTCGGCTGCTACACCGATTTACGAGTCACACTTTGAGCTCGAAGCCCCGCCTCCAAGCACGTACTACGACGAGGAGCCAGCAGCAGCACCATCGGAGGAATCTAGCGTCGCGGAGGCTCCAAGTTCTTCGAGTTCTTACGAGGAAGCTGTCCCGCCAACTTTGTTTGATGGTGGTGCCGAGGGACCAGTGGAAGCACCGCATGCTTTGGAAGGACCGGCTCCCTCCCAGGAAGAAGAAGCTCCGCCGCCAGGTTTCTATGGCGAGGAAGAAGCTCCGGCCCCGGATTTGCTCGCGAGCGGAGAAGGCGGCGAAGCTCCATCTCCATACAGCGAAGAAGAAGCTCCATCTCCATGAGCAACCGGAAGGAGGAGCTGAAGCTCCATCGCCAGAGTCTGAGCAGCAACAAGGAGGAGGAGCTCCATCTCCAGCGATTGAGAAAGCTCCATCTCCGGCATTTGAGCAGCAACAAGGAGGAACTCCATCTCCATCTCCATCTCCAGCGTTTGAGAGGAGGAGCTCCACCACTACCTTTTTAAATTTCTCTTAGTTTTGTTACAAGAGGTCATAACATAATATTAGGTCACTCGCGATGCGTGATGGAAAGAGATTTCTCTTGCTGGAATCGTCAAGCGCCATTCGCGAATGCGGCTGCTATGATCCAAGATCCAAGCGATCGATCATCGGGCAATCTTCCCTCTCATGGAGCGGCATCCAATCCATTTCTTCGCGGAGCTCTTGGCAGCGTAATGCGTGTCCTCCCATTTTTTGCTCTATACACATTCGTTGTGGTCGCGATTATAGGTGGCAGTCGAGAGAGCGAGGAGCTAAAACAAGCCTGGATTCGTAGAGAGTCAAGGTTTACGTGACTGAATTTCTCAGCGAATTTTTTCTTTTTTTCTTGTTTCCAGTGAAGCACGGAAGCGTACTGCTCGTACTGGCCGGAGTGGAAACCAAGAACAACAATGATGGTGCACGGCATGGAGTCTGTGCGCGATAGCTCTCTGGAACAAACTTTACGAAAGCTATGGCCCCGGTCGCTTTCTCTTGCACACTGATGGATGGGCGTGGACGATTCGCACGGCACGCTCACGCTTCTGGCTCTTTCAGTGACAAGGTGGGATTTCTCTCTCCTTTGTCAGCGTTTTTGTTTCTAGGTGGAATCGAGCTTTTCCTCATCGTGTTTGCTCTCCAGGCGATGAACTACGACCAAGTGAAGCTCCGAGATGGGAGGTGTCTGGCCTACAAAGAATTCGGGGTCGACAGGAACTCGGCGAGATTCAAGGTGGTGGTCATTCATGGGCTTGGCAGTTCTCGCGACGCTCTTTTCCCGTGCTCACAGGTACGTAGTAGAGAGAATCCTTCCCTTTCGCAAGTTTGGCTAGCCTACTCGATCGCAGGAGCTTGCGGACGAGCTGGGACTTTACATGGTCGGATTCGATCGAGCTGGCTATGGACACAGCGACCCTTTTCCGCAAAGATCTGTGAAGTCCGAAGCGCTCGACATCCAGGATTTGGCAGACCAGCTTCAACTCGGTGCGAAGTTCCACATCATAGCAATCTCGATTGGTGGCTACTCGGCATGGTCGTGTCTCAAATACATTCCACACAGGTACATCATCTCTTCTTTTCAAGCTCTCTCTCCTTCGCACTCAATCCTTTCTTTCTCTCCCAGGATTGCTGGAGCGGCACTTGTTGCTCCAGCCATCAACTACTGGTGGCCGTGCTTGCCACCATCTCTTTCTCACCAGGCTTTCAGCGCTCGATCGTTTCTAGACAAGTGTGGCCTTCGACTGGCTCACTACTTCCCCGGCCTCTACACCTGGTGGAGCAGCCAGAGATGGCTAGAACCCGGCATTTCCAGGCTCGACAAGGTGGACCAGACCATCCTGGCCAGTCCCAGCATCCTCAAGGCAAGAAAAAAAACTCTTTTTTTCTCCTTCGCTTGATCGTTCTCTCGATTTCTCAGCACCGAAGCCAAGCCCAACGCCAGGGAGCCCAGGAATCCACCGCGAGAGACATCCTCGTCCAGTTTGCGAGCTGGGAATTCGATCCAAGCCAGGTGGAGCAGCCGGGAGAGGGAATTCGCGTGGATATCTGGCAGGGCGATCGAGATTACTTGGTTCCGGCGCTCCTCCAGCGTTGCATCCACGAAAGATTGCCCTGGACCGGCTATCACGAGCTCCCAGAAATGGGCCACTTGTTCTTCCTCCTCCCGGGGCGTGGCGAGGAGATTATCCGCACGCTGCTAATCTAACCACGCGTATTATTCTAATCTGATCTCGTTTAGTCTAAACTTGTATTAAGACAAGATTAGTTTTTAAAGTAATATTGATTAGTTTAAAATTACATAATATTGTTTACTCTAAAATTGGTTACGATAGTGACAAGTGGCGAGAATCCTACCGTGAAAATAAAACTGCCACGTGGAGTGTGGCCTGCCGCGCGATTTGAATTATATGTGGTTTAGGTTAGAAAGAACACGAAGAACACCTGAGCGGGGCCATGGCGTACGGGTATGACCTCGCGCTCGCGCTCTTTCTCGCGATGCGTGATTCCAGGTAGCACACAGGGAAGAAAGATTCGTCTACATGGGAAGATCGAGGCAGCGTTGCGGGGATAGATCCCTACCGGGCAGGAGCTGGGGCTGGATTTCGCCGTGAGCGCTGGAAGAATCCAATGTGCGCGGCCAGATTATCGATCAAGGGAGCGGCGGCATCGTCGTGTTCTCCAGATCAGGGAAAGCCGCTCCTACTGCCGCCTTCTTCCGGCTCGCATCATCGCCGGGAGAGATTCAAGATCCTCGCGGCCGCGGGAATCAGCGCCTTCTTGCTGCTGTCGCTCACATTCTCCCCTCTCTGGAGCCTCCACGCCAGGCATCGCCCCATCCTCTCGCGGACGAGCTCTTCCATTTCCTCCTCCGCCGCGACGACGCAGCAGCCCCGGCGCTCGTACGATGTGCTCCACTACACCGCACTGGAGGCCAGCGATGGCGACGAGAGGGATAGAATCCGGCAGCTCCTGGACGAGCGATCGTCGGCCAAGTACTACTGGCACCACGGGCGGGGCGGGCGTGGCAGGGTGGAGCTGGAGCACAGCGATGGCTACGAGCGGCGCCGCCCCACTCCCATCCGGAGGCTGCGAGATCGTCGGTGGACGCCGGATCTCTCCAATCCCAGGTACGCTCCCTACACCGGAGAATTCCGCCAGATGCTCCAGAGCTGGGCTCGCCGCAAGCGCTACGATCCAGAGATCATGGCCGAGCTCCTTCCAGCGATCAAAGAGCCCATCGACCGCCACTACAAGAACTTATCCACCACCACCACCACCGAGGACGAACTAGTGATCCAAGAGCAAGCCCACCATCGCCACCACCACCATCACACCAAGGAGGATGACCGAGAAGGACACTTTGGCGACCAAAGAAGATCATCATCGCCATCGCCATCACCATACCCGACGTGTGCCGTGGTTGGAAACAGCGGCGTCCTCCTCAACCGGACTTACGGCGCGCTCATCGACAGCTACCAGATGGTGATGCGCCTCAACAACGCAAAGGTGGCGGGCTTCGAGCGCTGGGTGGGATCCAAGACCACCATCTCCTTCGTCAACAGCAACATCGTCCACTCGTGCGCTCGCCGCCACCGCTGCTCCTGCCCCTCCTACGGCGACGCCGTCCCCACCGTCTCCTACGTCTGCCAAGTTGCGCACTTCCTCGACTTGGCCTACTGCCGCGCGCATCGCCGAGCTCCGCTGCTCGTCACCGATCCCCGCTTCGACAGCCTCGCCACCCGGATCGTCCGCTACTACTCGCTCCGCCACTTCTTCCACACCACCGGGAGATCTTACGACGACTGGAACAAGCTCCACGACGGGACGCTCTTCCACTACTCGTCCGGGATGCAAGCGGTGATGCTGGCGCTGGGGATCTGCGACGAGGTGGGCCTGTTTGGATTCGGGAAGCTGTCCAATTCCACTCACCACTATCATACCAACCAGAGGACCGAGCTCGCGCTTCACGACTACGAGGCCGAGTATATCTTATACCGTGATCTCGTCCATCGCCCAGGTATGGTTCCTTTTCTTAATGAGTCTGGCCTGGCGGTTCCTCCTGTGAAGATCTTCCTCTGAGAAACTCAAACACACTTTTTTTTCGTTCTTCTCCTGTTTCTTAGGAAGAAAAAGAGAGATCTTTCATCTTTTACCTGTACATTTTGCTCTTACGAAGAAAAAGTTTCCATTCTTTTTTTTTCTTGAGTTTTCGTAGCGTTTTGGAAGATCGATCGAAGCTCAGTAGTAGTCCGTCTGCCTTTGTGCTACTTCGCTCTGCAAAATTCGTTATTCGTTTGATCGACTGGAAACAAAGTATCGATTTTTCTTTCACAAACCTCGAATGCTCTCTTGAGATGCTCCAGCTCCTTGTCCAGGTCGCTGAGGGCCAGGTTGTACGCTTGAATCGGTGACGACTGGCTGGTGGTTTGCACCTATGGATCGATCAAAGTTTCATCCATCAGTGCTTAGAAGAAAACATGATGGAAAAAAGAGAAGCTTTCACCTTGACAATGATCTTGTATTGCAATGGATGTGGTAGCTTGTATCCAGCAAACAAAACATTGGGATCGCGGTGTAGCTGCCTGAAAGCCAAAGAAAAAAAAAGAAGAATCACTCCAGGAAGCTAAACAAAAGAGAGGATTTGATTTTCTAGCTTACATGCGGACAACGTTTCCAACAGTGTGATCTTCTCGCTGAATGGTGAAAGCGCCGGCATTCATTACCTTCATATCCCTCTCATACGCAACCCTACGCGCGATCAAGAGAAAAAAGAAAAATAAGAGAAAGGACTTTTGAGCAGCCACGGCACTGGAAATCATCGCGCGCGCGGGCGCCCGCAATGCCGTAACATCCACAACTTACTTCTTGGTGCCCTCGGGAACGACGAAGCGCTCATAGCGATCCGGCGCGTTCATGGCGTCAAAAGAGAAGAAAGAAGAAAAACCCAACTTTAGGGTTTATGGGTTCCCTCGCTTCGGGGGTTCGAATCCTTTTCATCGCGATTTCCTCGCGCAAAATGCATGACACCACGAAAATCTCCACCACCGATTCCTTGCCGGCACCGAAATCGTGAAACCCAAACATCGATCGATCGAAAGAGCTGCCCAAGAACCCTAAAATCACAGCACACGCGTTCTTGGATCTCCCCTGTTTCTATTCTTTCAAAAGTAGGTACCAGCACTGTAAGTACACTACATTGCTTTGGAAAATAAAGAGAGAAAAAAAAACCACAGTGATTCTTTCCTTGCTCGTCCTTTACATTGTGTTCTTTGGATCGGTCGATCGCTCCCTGTTTCGTTCTTGGCCCTCTCTCTCGATCGATCGATCGATCCAGAGGAGAAGAAGAAGAGTGTTGCTAGGAATTGTGATGAATCAAATCAAAACCACCAAAGCCCAGCCATGGATCATGCTCGCGGGCGCGCGCGCGCGAGACAGAGAGAGGCTCAGTGCCGCGTTGGAACGAACGCGAGGTGCTGGAGATGGTGGTGGTGGTGGTGGTGGTGTTGATGCGGGTGGATCGATCCACCGCCAAAGAAATCGTGCTGCTGGTGATGGCGCTGGAGCTGCGATGCTCGCGGATCAAACAATCCAAATTTCCCGGCCGCCAGCGCCGCCGCCACCGCGGTGGGCGACGATCCGGAGGAGCAAGACGAGAGCGGCGGCGAGGAGGCCGCCGCCGCCGCTACTCCCGCCGCCAGCGGCGATCCAGCGCCGCCACCGCTAGCGGCGGCGGCAGCGGCCGCCATGTAGCGCTGGACCTCCTTGGCTACCATGTCCTTCATCATCCCCAAGAGCCCATTGTTGCCACCATTGCCAGGAGGAGGAGAAGGAGCTCCTCCATCCAATCCTCCATCCAATCGCCCTTGCCGGGGCTGGAAGATCGGCGCGAGCGCTTGCGCCACCGCCGCCCGGATCGCGGCGCTCATCAATTCCACCGCGTCCTCGGCCCGGACGTAGCCGCTGGGCACGAACGCCGGGGCGGCATTCTGGAAGGAGGAAGGAGGAGGAGTGCTTGGCGGCGGCGGCGGAGGAGGAGCTGGAGCTCCAGGCTTGCTCGATTCCATGGTCGCCGCTGGGATTTGCCCCGGGAGAGAAAGGCTGAGCGATGTGAGTGGATCCGCCGCGCCGCCGGTGTTGGAGCTGGATTCCTCGCATGGATTGTAGCTGGCAAACGCGGACGCGCGGGGCAGGGGCTTGAAGATCCCATTGGCGGCAGCGGCGGCGGTGGTGGTGGTGGTGGCGGCGGTGGCGGTGGTGGTGGTGCTCGTGGTCGTGTTCTTGGGCGACAGCGCGTCCCCAAAATTCATCCTTTTCAAGCTCCGCGAATCCACCTCCCAATTGCTGCCATCCTCGTCGTCGTTGGACATGTCATTGCTGCTGCGCTTGAAGCTCGAGATCTCCTCCTCGTCGCTGTTCTTGACGAACTGGTGGATCTGGTGGTGCTGGCGATGATTGGCGTTCTCGTGCTCCATGCCGGCGGTGGCGGTGGCGGTAGCGTGGCTCTTCTCGCCACCGCTACCACCGCCACTGGCACAGCAGCGCCGCCGGAGAGTGGAGTTCCAGTGGTTCTTGATCGCGTTGTCTGTTCTTCCGGGCAAGAGGCGCGCGATGGTCGCCCACTTGTTCCCGTGCTGCGAATGCGCCTTGATGATGGTGGCGTCCTCGGCGGCGGTGAAGGGGCGGTGCTCCACCTGGGGGCTCAGCTGGTTGCACCACCGCAGCCGGCACGATTTGCCCGATCGCCCAGCAATCCCCTTGCTGATGAGCGACCAATTCCTCGCGCCATACTTGTCCACCAGCTTCTGGAGCGCCGCGTCCTCCTCGGGGCTCCACGGCCCCTTGATCCTGTCCAGCTCCTCCGCCGATGCTCCGCCACTCCCACCACCGCTCTTGCCAAGCGCCATCGTGCACATCGCTCGCATCTACGCAAATCTCCCCCGAAATACCGCTCGATTCAGCCGATGCGCGCCAAGAATCCCAGGATTCTTGCCCAGAACAATGGCGCCATTGATCGAATCGATCCGATCGAGCTGGAATCGTCGCTTGGATCGAGAGAGGAGAAGAGAGAAGAGGAGCGCTGCCCAAAAACCCTAAACTCAAGAACAAAAAGAGTGAAGCTCAAGGCACACACACACACCCTCTCTCTCTCGCCCCTACATATGGCCACAACGGCCAATGGCCATGGCCATAATAACCATAACGCAAACTCTAACCACCACTCCACATCATGCCATACATGCCATGGTCCCCCATGGCATCAGCAACCATGACGTCAGGCGCCCTCCATTTGCATACGCATACACAGTACTGCTGACTGGGCGCACGCGGCCGTACGCAGCCGCCAGAGCCCTACGTGTTGACGTGTCGCGCAGAGGCTGGAGAGGAATCGCCCGCTTGTGGCCCATGGCCACTCCCCTGTACGGCTCGGCCCACCAAACGGATAAGACCGGCCAGGGGTTAACGTCGGAAAACAGGCCCCAATTTTCCCGGCCGGCGAACTTGTCGCTTGGCCGCCAGCCGAGCCGGCTGCAGCCAATGCAGCCTGGATCGGCCGGTCGGCCGGTCGGGGGTGCCGGCAAAATTTCCCGGCCGCCGGGAACTTGATTTTTACTACTAACCTTCTATTTCTCTTTTCTCCCTTTTTTGTAACAACGGAACAATACAAATAACCGCTGTGCCACCCAGAGATGGGCTTCTTCTTGCTTTTGTTTGCCAATCATGAGCCTAGCTTCCGGAGACATCCTCCCACGCCATCAACATGTTGGAGATGGGTGACAAGGGAACCAAATGTAGGGCCGCCTCCTTTTCCTTTCGCGCTGGGGCCTCCCCTTTCCTCTTTCCTCCTGTGAGTGACAAAAACCACCACCACCACCACCACCACCAGACCTAGTGCCAAAACAAAGCCTCGCAAAAAACAATGCCCAAGATACCCCTGGCAAAGCAAGACCCCACGGCCAATCCCAATTTGCCCAGTTAGGGCAAAAGTATATTTGTTTATGGTTTCTCGGTTAAAGCCACTCCAGCCATGTTTGACAGAGACATGGATGCATCGAATGGGAAGAAAACCCTATTCTCTTTCACAACACACACTCCATCACCTCATTATCATAAGGAATCCTTCAACTCCACACTCTTCTCCAGAAGTAGTATTCAGTGAAAGAGCATCAAAAAGTTACCACCACCGGGATCGTGGCATCTGTCTGTACTGTGGCTGTACACATACATGATAGACCAGTAGTGTATAAACGAATCAATCTTATATTTATACCACTCGCGCCTTAAGATATGTGCCTACGTACCCCAGCTTTTGCCCAACCAAGCCAAAAGATTCCTGCCCCTCATTCATTTCGATCATTTTCAAGGGCTTTTCTTTTTCGCTCTCGCATCGCTTAGAGGGACCTGACCGGACCCGGTCAAAATATCAATCTAGAAGGCAAAAAAACTGTATCGCCTTTAGCTGCTCTGCTCCCTAGGAATGATGCAATCCATCTTTAATCGCCCAGAATCTTTTTTTAATTCCCTAAAGCTTTCCTCCACTTCGAAAGCCAAACCATGTTCCAATGTACAAACTATACAAAATCGTGAGATTAATTTCGTGACCCCGGCTTTAGTTTACGTGCAAGTTGCGCTACAAGCCAGCAATCATATCGCCGCTCTTTACTGGGATCCAGTAAGACAGGCTCGTGATTAGCGAGCGAGCGAGCGAGCGAGGGGATCAAAGGGAATCTTTTTTCTTTGTTTCACCGGTCAGTTCTTCGCTAGTGGTGTTAGGTCAATCAAGTGGTAAGACACCAAGCTGGCTCTAGCTTGCAATGCAAGCGAGGAAACAAAACAAAATGCCCCCTGCGACCTTGGGATCCAAACTCAAGCCATACAAAGCATATAAAATAAGGTGGTAACACGTGCAATGGCGATCGGGCATTTGCATGGCGCCCTAATTTGCAAACTCCAACAAGAGAAGAGAAAAATTTTGCCCGGTGCTCGCGCTGTGTCCGGCAGAATCAGACACAACCCACAAATGGTTAAAACTTAAAAGCAGCCCTAAAAAGCAACAGATTTAACGGCAAGCCGGTTAGCGATTTAACGTGCTAAAACGGTTTTTAAAACCGGGCGCCGGTTTTAACGGGCACAACTGGGGCCGGTCCAGCTAGAAATGCGGCCGCCCACGTGTCTAAATTGCCAGCCTGTGCGGCAGTTCACGTGAATAAAAAGTTAAATGCGCCACGCGTCCGGCCAACGGACGCTCCAGATGTGGAGAGCTAGCGGCACGTGGGCCGTTGGATCTGGGAGACAGCCTGGCCGTTAGAAGTGGGTGGTTTCGCTTTTTTTTTTTTTCTTTTTATCGCTTTCCACATGCCAGAAATGCGTTGACTGCGCCACTGACCGTGGACCTGCCCCAACTACTTCGCCTTTGGGGATTAAAAAACCAGTAGAAATGATTTTTTTCGGCCAGTCCGTGTACGGCGGAATGGGACATGCGTACGGCAACAAACGGGCCATAGTCCAATGGAACTTGGGTAACTTGGAACTCTGGAACTCCTGGCTGGCTCTGGATGTATGGGCCCTAGATTTTAAAACCACCTTTCGCGCGGTTTTAAAAAATTTATTTTGTCTCCCGATCTGATCTGCCAGATCCAAACCCAGTCGCTCCATCTCTCTCGAATTCTTGTTTTTCGACCAGGTGCACACTTGTCTGGTGTTTGTCTCCGCGAATTATCGAGGAAAGGGGAGAAAAGGGCTGGGCGAGCGCTTAAAGAAACGCTTCCCAGCAGCCCATTCCATCCACGGGAGGAACAGATCCCGGTAAGCATCAACTTACGTGTGTAGGAAAACGATCGATCGCGGGATCGATCTGGACAAAAATGGACGCCAAACCGAGACAAAGAGAGAGAGAGTAAGAGGAGAAAAAATAGAGGCCAATGCATACAATGCAGTGTTAGACTCACTAACTTACGTGGGGGAGATTTTTGTAGCTTTGTTATGGTCTTGGAGGTTGTTACTTGCAACAACTTTACTCGACCAGGAAAAAATTTTCGTTTGTGTCGGCCACCATCTCTCCTCGTATGTTGAAACAAATCTTTGGCGTGTTATAGGGTTCCACCACCACCTTTTCTTCCTTTCTAAAAACCCTAAAAGAGCGCATGCCCATTTTGTCGCCAAACATCACATTCACGTTTTATCCTTGCAGATCCGCCCAGATCGCGGAATCAATGGTTGGTTGGGTGGGCCAGAGAGGCATAAGCGCAAGCCTCAAGCCCTAGCATTTCGCGGAAGCTTCCTCCGCGTGGATCCAAGCTGGCGCTGACTTGACTTGACTGGCCTTGACGCCGCTGCCCGTCCAGGAACAGTGGACTGGTGGACTGGACCACAAACCTTTTCCTTATTTCTTGCTCCTCTCTCCGCGTAGCAGGGCTGTGGAGTAGCCAAAGAAAGTTATAGAGGTAGCGTCGTAGCTGCCAAGGGATGGAATGAAATCCAGTGGCAGTATCAGAAAAAGACGGTGGCGGGCGGGCGGGCGGGCAGTTGGTGGGTGGCGGTGACGTGCTCGTCCGCCCATTCCTTTGTGTGTGGGATGAGGTAAGATTTTGCGCATAAGGTGCGTGACGTCCACCTGTCTGTCCGTTTGATGCGATCCCCCTCGTCCGGCCGCCATAATTGAAGGACGGACGGATGGATCGATACAACAATGTTACAATAGCAACAGAAAAAAAAAAGAGGAAAGGAAAAAGAGAGAAAATAAAGTGAAAAAAAAGAAGTTGTGTTGATGAATTGAATCGAATTGAAGTGATGTAAGTTTTCCACAAGTTGATTGATTGATCGATTGCCTTCAACGACCAGGACAGCATGAGGCAACTTATAAACTTTCAGACAGGTGCAAATTTTTTTTTCAAAAGCTTAAAACCGGTGGAATGTTCCCATGGGATATGCTCGCAACAGGGCATGGGCATGGCCCATTGCCCATGATTGCTATGCCTATGATGTCAGCATGCATGACGTCATGTCATCCCGGCCATGGATGAGGACAATGCCATGCATAGAGGATAACAACACTGCATGGTGGCGTGGCGTGTTTCTGTCCAGTGATTGAAAATACACCCAGGCAGTAAATGTGTGTGTGACTTCTCCAGCTAATCAACAGCTGGGGTCCGTTAGTTCTTCTATATATTTTTCTACCGGCAAGTTAGTTTAACCTTCTACTTGGGTAAACCTTGTTTGTTTGTTTTGAAAAAAGCTCGCACGTCCGCGTCCGCGTGATTTAAGAATCGAATCGCTTGGCTTAGAAAATCTAGACATTGACTGATTATTTCTTAGCCCAAACACACAAGAGGCATGAAATGAAACTTGGTGGTGGAGGCCCCATTCTAATGTGAGGGGCAAAGGGGACATTCGAGCCATTGTTAAATTGGTCAGCTCACACGTCCAAAGCTCGCCACCTTTCTTTTTTACAAGGCTAGGGCTCCTCCTGTTAGTTTAAACCCCCGCATTTAAGCGAGTGTCGGTTGGGGAGCCAGTTGACAAAACAGAAAACCGAAAAAAGTGCGGGCGGGAAGGATGATGGGAAGTTTCGGTGCCTTTAAAATGTCTTCTTTTTTATCTTTTATACAAGGGCGTGTCACTTTCGTGATGAGAAACCAAGAGGGGGAGAAGTTCTTTGTCCAAATCTCACAGGCATCTTGATGACGTCCAACTATCATATCGATATCCCAACGCTCTTTAGCTGCGCGATTTCTTTCGTGGCGCTCTATCTTCTGGGATGAGATGAGATGATCCTTCCAATCTCCTCCTATAATTACGGCGATGTGAATATGGTCGTCAATCACGGCGCGAGAAATATCAACGATCCAGCTTGTCCCAGCCAAGATCAAGGGACCAAGGATTGAATGCTCGCCCCGGTCCAAATCACAATGAAAGTAAAGGGAAGGGGGAACGCCCTAGAAGAGTGCAAACAAAGGCGATTCGATGCTGATCTTGGAAGTTGACATGACTGGAAAGCTCCACACACACGAATTTGTAGCGGGCGAGGATCGAACCCACGACTTCTTTCTTGCGAGTGGTGTTAGGCGGGACACCTGGATAGGAAAACAGTTAAATTACCAACCCGACAGGCGACCAGACGCGGCTGCGAGACAGCCGTCCGATGGCTCCCTGTTAACGGTGGCAGTTAGATGTCTTTGCACGCAATTGACAACCAGATAAAGCCCGTACCGCGAATATCCCGCGAAGATATCGCGGACAACTGTGTCTAACTGCCGGCTATCTAGGAGCATCCAACGGCCTCAGCGCCACCACGCTTAAACAGAAGATCCGCTCCTACAATGGTGGTCAATAGCTTTGGTCAATGGTCATATATGGTCATATACAATGTAAAGTTAAAGAAGCGCCATTTTCACTCAAAACCCTAGGGATGGGGTTTCTCTACGCCTACGCGCTCGTCTTCTATGCGCTGTTCGTCTGGCGCTCGATCGATCTCTCCTCAGGTATATGCGATGAACGCGATCGATCCAAGCTCACAGATTTCGGGAAATGCGAGGGCAGGGAAGGAGGCTTGGGGTCTGCGGGGATTGAGAAGGGGCTGGATTTTGGAGCGCAATGTGGTAATCCAGAGTCTTTCCCCTTTTCGCGTTGTTCTTGCTGAAATCTTCTTGCTATAGGATCTGTCTGATGCGCAATGGCGGAATTTTCGAGCAAATCTCCCAGCCCTGACGATCGTCCTGGGAGGTTTCACGGTTTTAAGCTTGATCCTTACGCATGGTTTGAGGTTTGGAGGCAAAGGAATGTCGCGCTATTGGCTTGTAGTTTCGACCATCTTTCTGGCGTACATGCACGAATGCTGGTGAGTTTTTTGGTTCCTTCTCTTTGTCTCTCTTTTCTTATGAGCTTTCGAATGCCAGTATTGTATTTATAGTTGCTATAGCGGCTGGAAACTTCGCCCTCACAAAGGTCGTTTATTGCTCTTTTTCTTCGATCTTTTTTTCTCAAAGGTTGTGATCTCGTTTGTGCTAGATTGCAGGTGGAAGGTCCTTCTTTCCGATTCTTCTTTGGAGCTACAACTTGGCATTTCTCATACTAAATAGAGTCTACGAGGGCTACTCCTTTACGTCTCTTGGGTATGTTAGTGCTCGTTTTTCCTTGACTTGAATTTATCATTTCTTGCATAGAGAGGCTTTTGCAAGGCTTGACAAACATCGGGGTGCAATGCGGTGGCATATCAGTTTCAATTTTGGTATGAGAAGAGTTTCTTTTTTCCCTTCTATTTTTTTTATTCTAAATTCTCTATTTTAGTTATGCTACGAATGGTGAGCTTTGGCCTAGATTACCATTGGACTCGTTGTTGTCGACCGTCGGCTATTAATTGGGAGGTTTGTTTGCTCCTTGTTTGGGTTTCCTCTTCTCATGTTGTAAAACTTTTTAGAAGCACAACGCTACTTGCAGTGAGTGCCAAACTGGTAACCCGTGCTACCTCTCGCGTCAGGTAATGTTTTTGATGCAGCTTTTGAGCCAGCACTACTTACTGTAGCTTTAGGAGAAAGTCTTACCGGCAAATGCCTATGGCTTGACAGCGTACTTCAGCTATTTGTTCTATGCACCGCTCTACATCGCTGGCCCGGTTGTTAGCTTCAACTCGTTTTCTTCACAGGCAAGTTCTTTTCGCCCTTTGAGTTTTGATGTTTAAAGATCTCTAATGCAGATTGAGAATCCGCGGATAGGCTACAAGCAGGCTGGTGCCTACGGTATCAGGTGGCTTGCTTGCCTGCTACTTATGGAACTTATGACACACTATTTTTACTATAACGCATTTGCTACGAGCAGGGTTTGGCCAAAGCTGTCACCCGTGCAAATCTTTATCGTTGGCTATGGAGTAAGTGCGAGCAGTTTTTGTACGTTGTTGAGTAACTTTTGTTCTTTTTGCAGGTGCTCAACTTCATGTGGCTAAAGTTTCTTTTGATCTGGAGGTTCTTCCGATTCTGGGCCCTGGTATGACGTACTTTCTCGCTTGTGATGTGTTTTTAAGCTCTTTGATAGATGTCCGGTGTAGAGTCACCCGAAAACATGCTACGCTGTGTGAACAACTGCTATGACCTAGAGGGGTTTTGGAAGAGCTGGCATGCATCTTACAATCGCTGGCTCGTAAGGTGTGAAATTTGTCGTGCTTTCCCTTTCAAAACATCCTCGTAAACTTCTTTTCTTTTTGTTGAAGATATATTTACATTCCTCTTGGCGGCTCTAGATGGAAACTTCTCAACGTATGGATTATCTTCACGTTTGTTGCATTGTGGCACGACTTAGAATGGTAAGTAACAACCGAACTCTTTATCCTCATTAACGCTTGCTAACTTGTCGATACTACAGGAAACTTCTCTCCTGGGCCTGGATGACGTGTTTACTCTGGTTGCCAGAAGGCTTGATGAAGCTTTCTCTTCGCTTGAAACAGGTATCTTGTTTTTATTTCCGTTTTAGCGTGACACGAGTTTTTTAGATGCAAAAACTGCAAAAGAATTCGCCAGCGTTATTCACTGAAGGCTGTGCCATTGCCAGTGCCCTCAACATAACCGGCTTGATGGTATGAATCACTTTAGATTCATAGTTCTTACTAGTGCTGAGACTGGCAGATGGCAAACCTCATCGGATTCGTTGTTGGCCCGGCGGGATTTAAAGAGCTCATTAGTAAGCTCTTTGTGAAGCAAAGTATGCTCTCTCTATTTTCCTGTTTTTGGAATGGTTTTAACGAGACTGTTTTGCAGATGCTTGGCTTTGTCTCGGGATTTTCTTCTCTTTCTACGTGGGTGCCAAGGTGAGGATTGGAACGTTTTTTCTTCCTTTTCTCTTATTCTTCATGCATTGTGCAGCTTATGTTTCGAGTGAGGGAGGCCGAGGCTTATAAAGATAAAAAACGGTGACTATTTCGCTTTATCCTTTATCTAGACAACGCTTGGTTCGGGATAAACTTTCGAGCCAAGACGAAAAATGTTTCACCCCTCTGTATTCTCGACGGGAACCATCTGGAATATATGCCTTTTACATTTTTTTCGTTCGTATTTCAGTCAGATTATCAACCAACGCAAGCTGTTCAGTTACTTCTAACTTTCATGCAAGCAAATGCAGCAGCAAGTTCTTCACAGCCTGTCAATCAATGGACTTGTGAGTTTGCTTTCGATTTAGTTCTTAAGTCCTTGACAAAAATTTCTTTTTTCACAGGTGTTGAATTTGATGCATCGATTCTGGGCCCTGGTATGTGTAGCCTACTTTCTAGCTTCTGATGCGTTAAGTGCGGCATTGGTGTGTGTTGCGTGAACAACTGCTGCCAGTTTCAGCTCGTCAGGCATGAACTTTTATCACTTGCGATGCAACGCTATCACGAGTGGCTGTTGGTTGTAGATCTTTCGGCTGCTCTCAATAGAAACACGTTAACGTGTGGATGATTCTTTCGCATTGCGTCACGACTTGGAATGGTAAGTGAGAGCCAGACTCTTGCGTTCCTATCCAAGCTTGCTAACTTGTAAACACGACAGGACAGGTCGTGTCTACTCTGGTTGCCAGAAGGCTTTGATGAAGCAAGCTTGTTGGCTTCAAACAGGTAGCCTTTTTTCTTGCTCATAGTTTGACACACTTTGCAGATACAAAGTCTGCAAAAGTAGTGTGAATCACTTTCACTGATGGCCTTATCGGTTCTCGTTGTTGGCTCAGCGGGATCCAAAGCGACTCTCTTTCTGAGACAAACGTGCTCTTATTCTATCTCTCTGTTATTTAGTTTTGCTTGCTGGTTTACTGTTTTTTTTTCCTTTTTGGTCATCTCAAGCAAGACCGCGCTTTGTCCCGGTATTATTTCTCTCTTTCTACGTGGGAGCCAAGGTGACCATTCCTTTTCTAGCAGATGATATTTCTTTGTTCGCTCTTGGAATAACATTTGACGCATTGTCCAGCTTATGTTTCGAGTCAGGGAAGCCAAATGTCATAACGATAAAAAGTGGCGACTGCGGCTGGAAAGCTGGTTTGTTTCACATCCATTTATCCTTTGGTCTGTGACGAGATGATCGGTTTTTTTTTACTAGGAATCCACAACACTACCTTGGCTGGATTGCAAAGTTTTTGATCCAGAGAAAGATCGCGGGTCAAGTCAAGAGAAGAAAGAATCAAAGCTTTTGACAAAGAGAGTGAGGTACTTATCATCCGTGAGGAATTCTTTTCTCTTCCTTTTTTTTTTCTCAGTCCCATCAACAAGTTCTCGATGACGAATATGAAATCGCAAAGGTCTCATCGATTCTCCAAGTTCTTGGACCAGTCAAGCCATAAGAAATCTCCTTTCGGGTCACCAGGTGTGTTTCCACTTGAGTTTTTTAATGGCTCCCTTGACAATGATCCATGTCTCCGTGAATAAACTTTTGCTTGCTTGCTTTGTTTGAATCGAGCACCAAGATCTTGAGTGGAGTTGAATACAAGCGCCATTGTTTTAATATTCTTCCTCTCATCCTTACGTAGGTACTTGGTGGAGTAATCAAACGTTGAAAGCAATGATAAAAAGCTGGATAGTGGTACCCGAAATTTCTCGAGCATGGAGCCGGGGGAATCTTTTCGTTTCTTGACAAAGTGATTCTTTCTCTAGGCAGCAGGGAATGGAGCATCTCACGAACAAAGCCCTTAAAGCTGGGAAAAAAAGAAGGCCGGATTTAAGTATCAAAGCACTAGCGAGCGACCCTCTTTGCTTTTAGGCAGTGGTGTTTGAGGTCACCATGCAAGCAAAGCAAAAGTTGGCGAGATATTGGTAATCTACGCAAAAAGAAGGATCGGACTGGAACCCACACGCTATAAAGACAAAGCACGCTCAAGAAGAATGGAAGAATTCCATGCAACTAGAGGAAAGAATGGAAGTACTCATACCTATGGTTGCTGATCAAAGAAAGGTTTGGATGCGTCTATGAGGTTCCATCATCAGTTTTGATTGCCAGGCGTGCGCAAACATGTATTTGATATGGTTTCCAGTTTAATCTATTATTAATAAGAATATATAAACAGTTATATTAATAATTAAAAAAGTTGCATTAGATGTCAATCGCTTCTTAACATATTTGACGCGCTTCAGCTTTTGGAATGGAGCCCAGTGACAGTATAGCAAACGTATCCACGGCGTATAAAGAGGAAAGTCCTAGCCTAGCGTACTTTCTCTTTTCTCTGTCTGGATAATTTCTTTTTACTTACTAAATTATCATTAGTAATAACTAGAATAATTAAGTTTATCTCAGAGGCTTGTTTTATAGAATTTAGGTTTGAAAAACTGGCGGGAAAAGCAGCCGTTTAAATTGCTGGGGTTTTTGTTGCTCAAGAACCCTAATCGCGCCTGGGGACAAGACGTAAGATCGGCGAACAGCGAGCGCAGCAGCAGCGCCCTGGCTCTCTCTGGCGCTCGCATTAATCTAGTACTCGCACTGGTAAGCGCCTCGTTCGTCTCTTCTTGGCTTCTTGTTGGCCAATGGCTGTGTGCGATTCATACGGCTCCATTTGGTGGTACATATCTGATTCGCATTCAAATCGAGTCAAGTCCACCTCTTTTTTCCCCAGCGCCAGGCCTCCAGTGTGGAGCGAAATAGAAAGGCCATAGATTTGCTACGGGATTCCTTGTTTTCCCACCCCACCTCCTCGGTTCTCCAAGTTTTCTCCCAATTTTTTTTTCGCCCCCTTGCATGCTTTTATCTTTGTTTTTTTCGTGTTGGTGGAGCTCTGCCTGATTCTCTTAAGTATGAATCTCTCTTTTTCCTTTTTTTTTTTTTTCCTCTCTTCTCGTTGGTGTTGTTGCTAAGCGTGCTGTGGAGCCTGGTCTTGTTCTTTTGGTGCTGGTGGTGCTCTGATCCTTCTTTCCTTCTTTCGTTGCTTGCTTTCGTGGGTCTCTTCTATATATGTGTACATATCTCTGGCAAGGATAGGACTTGGCATCTTCCATATGTATGCGTCGTAGGACAGACCCAACATCTGGTGCAGAGCTGAGGAGTCCTTGCAAATGCACAGACGCGGGCAGTAGCGGCAGCAAACCAACTACCATACAAATATGCTGCGAGCGATGCGATGATATCAAAACAAAGAGGGGGAAAAATCCATCCAAAAAGCCTGGCTTCGGCAATTACAACCTCGCGAGCTGGACAGAGAAGGTGCCGCTTCATCTTCATACCATTTTGACATCAATCAGGCTCACCAGGTGTGTGTATGCTGCTCTAAGTATCTTTGCTCCTTTCGCTTCTCAACTTGGCTTGATTGTTGGTACTTGCATTACCCATTTTCGTAAGCTGTGGTGGGATTCTTTCTCGTAGTTACTGTCGGGGCTTTGCGTGTGATTGTTCCATCTTTTCTCGTTTTAGCTAAAGCTGTACAGGCGGCTTTCTCTGTGAGTGCTGTTTCTTTCCTTTAGTTTACTTTTTCGGTCTTTTGCGTCGTCACTTTGCGTAGCTCCTCTGGTACAGTATGGGGGCGCATTCTGCATAATTCTGTGCATCTTGTAGAGCTACTAGTAGTAGTAGTAGTAGTAGAAGGAAGTAGTAGTAGAAATCGTAGTCGAATGCTTTGCTGATACGATTCTTTCATACTAGTGCGTCTCTGCGTGTACTGTCTAGTAGCTATGACATTGAAATGGATGGCAGCAGCAATACGTACAAGGCTCTGATCCATTTTATCTTTTCAGTGAATCAGGAAGGGAGCGAGCGCTTGGCTACTGCTACTTATACTACGTTGTACAAGTCCTTAGAGCTTAACCAGGTTCCAGCGACTGTACACTGTAAACAAGCAACTTGGAGTTTCCCAGACTTACAAGAGGACGACGACTCTACTCACAGGGAAAACCAGGACTCGAGGGTATATCAGACGAGGACAAAGGTTTTGATGCTGCTGGGCTCGTAGTGGAAACAAGGCTTCTCAACAAGTCAAGTGGTGGTGGCACTGGAGGAGGTACCTTTTAGCTAAGCTAAGAAGGAGCTCTATACTCGGAAGAGGTAGAAGTCTAGAAGGCCGGAATTCGAGACAGGGCATGGGGACGAATACGAACTCGACGAGCATTACACCGGAAAAACGGAAGACAGAGCAGGGAATGCTCCGGACTTCAGCAGCTACGCTGGTGGTTTTGGCTCTCCTTCTCCTCCAACAGGCTCAACTTTCCTCTTCTCAAGCCTCTCAGGATGCTGTCAATCTCCTGGCATTGAAACTGGACATCGTGGATGGGCTGGGATATCTATCGGACTGGAAAGATTCTACGACAACGCCATGCAGCTGGACGGGTGTGACTTGCGACGACGAGCACCAGATATCCAGCTTGAATCTCGCCTCCATGAACCTGACAGGTAGAGTCAATGAAAACATTGGTCTGCTCAGCTCGCTTTCAGTGCTCAACCTCAGCGACAACTCCCTCAGCGGCGATCTTCCGCTGGCGATGACAAGCCTCACGAATCTCGACACCCTGGACATCAGTGAGAATCAATTCACCGGTCGTCTCACCAATGCGATTGCCAATTTACATCTCTTGACGTTCTTCTCGGCTCATGACAACAACTTCACGGGACCGCTGCCGTCGCAGATGGCTCGTCTGGTCGACTTGGAGCTGCTCGACTTGGCTGGAAGCTATTTCTCTGGGAGCATCCCTCCGGAGTATGGGAATCTGACCAAGCTCAAGACGCTCAAGCTCTCTGGGAACTTGCTCACTGGGGAGATACCGGCAGAGTTGGGGAACTTGGTAGAGTTGAACCACTTGGAACTTGGCTACAACAATTACAGCGGAGGAATTCCAAGAGAGTTTGGGAAGCTCGTCCAGCTCGAGTACCTGGATATGTCGCTGACAGGCCTCTCCGGAAGCATACCAGCAGAGATGGGAAACTTGGTCCAGTGCCACACCGTTTTTCTCTACAAGAACAGGCTCTCCGGGATTCTACCTCCAGAGATTGGCAACATGAGCGGACTTATGTCACTGGATATCTCGGACAATCAACTCAGCGGGCCAATTCCGGAAAGCTTCTCGAGGCTGGCCAGGCTCACTCTCCTCCATCTCATGATGAACAACTTAAACGGTTCCATTCCCGAGCAGCTGGGAGAGCTAGAAAATCTGGAGACTCTATCCGTGTGGAATAATCTCATCACCGGGACGATTCCTCCTCGACTCGGCCATACGAGGAGCTTGAGCTGGATCGACGTCTCGTCCAATCTTATATCGGGGGAGATCCCTCGCGGGATCTGCAAAGGTGGCTCTTTGATCAAGCTGGAGCTCTTCTCCAATTCTCTCACCGGTACCATCCCCGACATGACTAACTGTAAGTGGCTCTTTCGAGCTCGGTTCCACGACAACCATCTCTCGGGCCCGATACCAGCGGCATTCGGGGCCATGCCGAATCTCACGCGGCTGGAACTCTCCAAGAACTGGCTCAACGGAAGCATTCCGGAAGATATCTCGGCCGCTCCACGCCTGGCTTTCATCGACATCTCCAGCAACAGGCTGGAAGGCAGTATACCGCCGCGAGTGTGGAGCATACCGCAGCTGCAAGAGCTCCATGCAGCCGGGAACGCGCTCTCCGGGGAGCTCACCCCGTCTGTAGCCAATGCAACGAGAATGCTGGTGCTGGACCTGTCCGAGAACAAGCTCCAGGGGCCGATACCACCCGAGATCGTCTACTGCTCTAAGTTGGTCACGCTCAACCTCCGGAAGAACACGCTGAGCGGACAAATCCCGGTGGCTCTAGCTTTGCTCCCGGTCCTCTCCGTCTTGGACCTGTCGTGGAACTCTCTCCAAGGGAGAATCCCAGCACAGTTTTCGCAGTCCCGGAGCTTGGAGGACTTCAACGTCTCATACAATAGTTTGTCCGGACAGCTCCCGACGTCCGGACTATTCTCGTCTGCGAACCAGAGTGTCTTTGCCGGGAACCTCGGGCTGTGTGGAGGAATTCTTCCACCCTGCGGCTCAAGAGGGAGCTCCTCCAATTCAGCTGGTGCCTCGTCGAGAAGAACGGGACAGTGGCTCATGGCAATCTTCTTCGGGCTGTCATTCGTCATACTCTTGGTCGGAGTGAGGTATCTCCACAAGCGCTACGGATGGAACTTCCCGTGTGGATACCGGAGCAAGCATTGCGTCCGAGATTCGGCCGGTTCCTGCGAGTGGCCGTGGAAGATGACGGCCTTCCAGCGGCTGGGCTTCACGGTGGAGGAGCTTCTCGAGTGCATCCGTGACAAGAACATCATCGGCAAAGGCGGGATGGGGGTGGTGTACAAGGCCGAGATGGCGAGCGGCGAGGTGGTGGCGCTCAAGCAGCTTTGCAACAACAAAGAGAGCTACTACACCGACCAGGGGTTCCTGTCCGAGGTGAAAGTTCTGGGGGGGATAAGGCACAGGAACATCGTCCGGCTGCTGGGATACTGCTCCAATCACCACACCGACATGCTGCTCTACGAGTACATGCCGAATGGAAGCTTGAGTGATCTTCTCCACGGACAGAAGAACTCTTCCAGCCTCTTGGCGGACTGGGTTGCGAGGTACAACATCGCAATGGGAGTGGCGCAGGGGCTGGCTTACTTGCACCACGACTGCTTCCCTCACGTCATAATTCACAGGGATGTCAAGTCGAGCAACATTCTCCTGGATCACAACATGGACGCCAGAGTTGCGGACTTTGGTCTTGCAAAGCTGATCGAGGCGCGAGAATCCATGTCCGTTGTTGCTGGCTCGTATGGTTACATCGCTCCAGGTATGAGCTACTCGTTCCTTGGTTTGTTTGTTTGCTCATTCCTAGCTTGTTTGTTTGCTCATTCCTCCAGACAGTTTTTAGATCTGCTTAGATGAAAACAAATGCTTGAGTAGCTCTCACTTGTTTCCTTCTTCTTTTCTATTTGGTTTTTCTATCGCTCTGCTACTCGTTCGTCTATTTATTCATTCACGCTTGTATCTTTTTTCTTTATTTTTTCTTTTCTTCCGTGATAGATATCGGTCATTCATTGCTTGAAAGAGTTGGTTCTGCTTTCCTGTTGGTTTGTACCAGGCCTTTTTTTTCGGCCTTGTAATAATCTATATGCACTCTTTGCGATAGGATATGTTTGCTTGAGAGGTCTTGCTGTTTGGCTGCTTGTCCTGTTGGTTTCTTACAGGCTTTTTTCTTCCTTGTGCTTACGTTCCAGGCTTTTCTTTGTTTTACGTGCATGTTTTGGTCGTGGGTTGCAACTTTGTTCGTTTCACTCGATCTAAAAGTCGAAAACTTTGGGTTTTTGTGATTCCAGAGTACGCGTACACGATGAAAGTGAGAGAGAAAGGTGACATATACAGCTACGGCGTGGTGCTGCTGGAGCTCCTCACTGGCAAGCGGCCAATCGAGCCAGAGTTTGGAGAAGGCAGCAACATCGTCGACTGGGTCCACTCCAAGCTGCGAAAGGGGCGGCTGGTGGAAGTTCTCGACTGGAGCATTGGCGGCTGTGAGAGCGTCCGTGAGGAGATGCTGCTGGTGCTCAGAGTGGCGATGCTGTGCACAAGCAGGGCCCCTCGCGACAGGCCAACGATGCGAGACGTGGTGTCCATGCTCATCGAGGCGCAGCCCAGGAGAAAGCAACTCAGCGCCATCTCTAGCAGCAAAGCTAGCAGTGGCAAGAGGAGGAGCAATGATCAAGACGATGACGAAGAGGCTAAAGAAAAGGAGGAGCAAGAGGAGGAAAGCTCACAGCAGCAGCAAAAGAAGAAGAATAAGAAGATGAAGAAGCACGAACTGGAAGAACTCCAAGAATCTCTATCATAGTTATAAATAACATTAATATTGAATGCAACAATGTTATGATAATCGATAAGGCAAAGTAATGTATTTCATTCCAGCTTCCACAAAAATGAGAAGGAAAATTTGCAAGTGTATCTAGCCTTACCGCTAAAATGCTGCCAGGTACCTCGGGACAATAACAACACAGCTAATACGTCCTTGCTTCTCACAATCCCCCAACTAGGCAGCAAGAAAGAAGGCATCTTGGCATACCCATCCAATCCTCACAGCACAATTGGTGGCGAAATCCATCTCCCCATGGCATACCAAACACTCTTGGATTCCAATAGCAATGCATGTGAGGTTGTGATGTCCAGTTATTTTCATCAATTTGTCTTGAGAGAATAGAAAGCAACACCACCACGTACATACTCTTGTTAATAGCCGTGCTAATTGATATCATTTTTCTTCACTGATTAAGATCATGAGAGAAATGTTGGAAATTCTCCATTGCTCTCTATTATTGCTGCCGATCACACAGCATATGTGATATAATACATGTTTTTGAAGTCTTGCATTGCCCAATTGGAGGCATGAGACTACAATGCTGAAGCATTATACCAAGATTCATGTTTTGTTTGTTATGCTAACAAATTTTCATGTTTAGAGAACTATCTCATATCTCATATCCCTCTACTTTGGCCAGTGCCAATATATACAAAAAGAAACAGAAAGAAACACTAAAGCAGCACTCTTTTAGTTTTCATAATTCTTCATAACAATTTTGCTCCTTTCACCCTCCTCTCCACTACTTTTTTAAACTCTATTTTAACTATAACCTCTTCAGTTTTTTTCTCATTAAAAAAAGGTATGATAAATAAGTCCACTTCATTTCACATATTCTTATTTTTCAATACATAGAAGTCAAAATAAAATATAAAGAGCAACATAACTCTACTTCCTTTGGGATTGTGATATTTAAGCTAGTGTATAGATATTCAAATTTGGCATGATGGGATATATGGTTTTTTTCAATGCTTACAACCCTTTATTGAGTATAATGTTAAGTTGGACAAGCAAAAGTGGCAAAGAATGTATTTATTCAAAATTGAAGACTAAAGGGACCAAAGAGTGATAAGGTTTTCAATTTAAAGCTATTATTGAAGCCATAATTATTTTCAGGATTACTAGTCTTCTCATTAAGTTTTTATATTTTTAAATGGAAATATACATACTTTCTATAATTGTTATTTATAAACCAGACTTAAATGAAAGTAATTTTAGCCATAATATTCTGGTTTTGAACATAGGATAGGATACAACTTTCCATGTCTGATTAGGGCAAATAGGAACCTTTTATTGAATATTTCTATATTTAGAATTCACAATGATAATTTGTATAGTTCTATTACAATAAAGCTTCACTAAGAAAAAAACTATTGTGGATTCTAGAAATTGCAGTCTTTCTTATCAATTATTTTCAGTTGAAAAAGAAAAATTAATCCATCCTTAATGACATTTGTAGGTATATATAAATGAATATTATATGGAGAATAAATTTAAATTTTAGTATTTATTTTGTATTTCACTTACGTACAAATCATTGTTATTCTCCAAGAATAAGTACTCGCTTATTCTATAAAATGGTGTAAAGAATATATATTAGGTTAAAAGTAAAAATTAATAATTGCCACTATAAAAGTAATTTTATTAAAAAATTGTTTATTTAAAAGAACACATCATAGATTAGATTTTAATTAATAGTTATTAAGATAACCTAAAGTATAAAAGAAATTATAGATATTTATATTTTTAATTATATAAAACTCAAATTGTGGAATAATGATTATTAAAACAAGTAATATGGATATTTTTAATTAGAATTTGTTATTTATAAAAACTTATAAATTTATTGTACAATTTAACTAATTTAATATACTTACCAAAATCCAAATAATACTTATTTTCCTAGGCATAAGTAATGTTTACATCTGTCTTTTCATTACAAAGAAGAGATGGCATAGCCCCTGCATGGAAGAACAAGCAATTTTAATGCTAAAACTCTTCCTTTTCTCACCTTCCTTTCTTTTGTTCCTCAAGTCCCTCTCCTTCCCCTTTGTTTTCTTTCATTTCCTCTTTGATTCGCTCTTCTTCTTCATCGTGGCTGCCCCGCAGCACTACTCCCGCCTTGCATCCAGTAAGATTGCTGGCTGCTCCCACCATACCTGGACGACGATCCTCCAGGCGCATAGCCTTGTGATTGCTGCTGCTGCTGGATCAGCGATCCCATTGCCATCATCCCACCACCACCATTTTGATTCTGAAACTGCTGGAAATCACCACCACCACCACCAGCGCCACCACCACCACCACCTTGCTGCTTCACGTTGGCCTTCTCTCCCTCAGTCTCTCGATACCTCTGGAGATAGAGCTTGAGTGGATCGATGTAGTCCTCGAATCCCAGCGTCCCCATCGCCCAGAGGAGATCATCGCCATTGATGGTCTTGCGCTTCTCGCGCTTGCACTTGTCCGAGGCCTCGCCGGTGATGAAGCTGATAAACTCGGACACGCACTCCTGGACGGTCTCCTTGGCGTCCTTGGAGATCTTGGCATTGCCGGGCAGGACCTTCTTCATGATCCGGCTCACGTTGGCGATGGGGAGGAATCGCTCCTGCTCTTTCACCGAGGAGTAATTCCCCCCACCGGATTCGTTGTCCGAGTGTGGGCTGCTCTCCGGCGTGCCTGGGTAATCCGCCATGGCGCTGCGCTACAATCCTTCTCCTCCTCCCTCCGCGGATCGCTGGATGGAGGGATGGACAATCGACGCTCCCCTGACACGAAATTCCGAGAGAAATCAGCGCAAAGAAGAAAAAGGAGCTGGGATTTCTGGAAGATCTCCCTCTACGGTCTCTCACGAGCCCTAATTCCCCGGCAGAGAGAAGAATGCGCGCTTGACTCAATCCAATCCAAGCCAATCCCATGCTCCAATTCCAAGAGAGATTGCTCTCCTTCTTACCTAGATAGCGATGGCGATGGGAGAATCCCGCACCGCCAGCTCCTCGCCGCTCGATCGCACCGGCACCGCCGCCACCCAGCGCCGCCGCCGCCACATTCTTGCTCCTCTTCGCCACGCCGATACCTAGAAGCAACGAAAAGGAGGAAAGAACACACCACCAAATGTGGAACAAGATAGAAAGAAAGAAAGAAGAAAAAAATTAACTTTTTTTTTTCTGGAGTCAAAAAAAATTGGGAGGATTTATCTATTCATCGCCTGCCTGGATAAAAAGAAAAGATGAAAACGTGTCGCCGGTTCGATTCCCACCAAGCCCTCTTTTCTCTCTTTTCTCTTCTCTCACACCAACGTTTGTGTTCTTAGTTTGTTCTTCGTGTTCTTCGATTGTTCTTCGTGAATCCTGGATGGATTTTTTTCCTCTTTTTTTGTTCTTGCTTGGGCTCATGTGTGCGAGGCGGTTGATGCGACCCAAATCGGATACAGCTGCTGCCCGACTTTGCAATCCACCCTCCCAAACAGGAAGGACCACAAAACGTTGACGATGCCGGTGCCATAGTCCATGCTGTTGCCACAGAGCTCGTTTAGCTCGTCGGCAACGCGCTGAGCGTCACTGGACACGTCGCCTAATGCCCACGCTAGTGATATGTGAGGCCGAGGAGTCTGCCAAAGGAAAGAGAAACGGAGAAGAAATCCTCAAAACCAAACGAAGATGGAAAAGCAAAGGCTTACATCGTAGAATGGTGGGAGGCCGTGGAGCTTGTAAGCCTCAGTAACCAGCGCTATTTGCCTGCGAATCTACAACCACAAAGCAAATGAAACTGTCAAGAGAAACGAAACCAAACGAGGACACCTTACGTCGGATAATCCTCCAGACACAACTTCCAATCCGAGAAACGTTCTCGATCGATCATCGTTCAAGTAAATCTCCCATCTCCCAAACTCGATCCAGAACCTAGCTAAACGTGCAATGTCAGCGAAAAGAAACCGTGAGAAAACAAAGCTAACTCACCGTTTCTGGCTTTCAAACTTGTGTCTCAGCAGGGGGATGAGCGTGTCAATCTGGTGGACTCTAATCGGGACTGTTCTCGAGAGACTGATGTGGAACTCTTTGGCGAGCTGTATGCCGGAGTCGGCGTTTGAGCGAGAAGTTGTGTCTCTGCGCTTGAAACTCACGACAATGTCGTCGTCCATCCCACGCAACTGGGGCATCATACTCGATGCTTTACCAAGTAGTGACTCCAAGACATTCCGTGCTCCAAGCGTGACAGGAACTAGAAATCAAGAACACTACAACTTAGATATGGATATAAGAACAGATCACACAGCTTACCAGGAATGTTTACGTAGGATGGAAAATTCCCTTCGACATGTGGGAATGTGCGTTTTCGTCCAGCATGACTGGGTGGTATCACTGCAAGAAGAAAACAATGGTAAGAACACCGAAAAAAAAAAAGGCATAAGCGAGAAGAAGAAAAATACAATGCTAAGAACAAGAAGCTCTTTTGGAAAGAAAAAAAGTACGAGCGAAACGAAATGAAGAAGAACAAAGATCAAAGGAGCTCTTTTCCAGAGACTTACGAGCATCTGGAATTTGGTCCAGCTCCGATGGAGGTGGCGGCAACGGGTTAAGGTTGTAGATCGAGTAGCGCGCCTTGGTGCGTACTTTTTGCTTTCTCTTTGGAGGGCTGCTGGCGGTGGAAAATCGAGAATCGTCCGTGTCGGAGCCCGACGGAGATGTGTTGTAGAACATTTGTATTTCTTCCATGACCCTCTAGCAAAAATCGAAAATCCCTCTCTGTCCAACTATTTCCACTCCTCGTCCATGGCATTATCCCTCATTTCACCTTGGCAAAGTGCCTCATCGGTGGAAAGACCATAAACCCTGTACCTTGCGGGAGAGTGGTGCCCCTAGAATCACTGCGCGGCTAAATCTGTGGCGCCATACCTGGGGCAACGAGGGCGCCACGTGGCGCCCGTTGTCGATCGTGTTTCCCGGAGCGCGATTGTGACGGATCAGCCTCTCCTCCGCTCAAGGGACGCAATGCTTGGAAAACGAAAGGAGGAGGAACCCTAAAATTGCCAAAAATGTAACATTTGCTAAGGAAAACGCCTTAATATTTTATTGTCGTTTGAACTAATTATGTATACAAATCCATCATCGTCCACAGAAAGTGTTGTTGATTTACATGTTGGACAATTAAAATTTATAAACCATATTTCTATATCTCGAAAATCCTTTATAGTTAATTTTCCAGTCTCTAAAAGCAACCAACAGTCAATACCTTTGTTAGAAGTCCCATTTTCCCATAAAACATGTATTCTTTTCCAAGTTATAGCTAGATTACAATTTTGCTTTAGATTTAATTCATATTCTCCATTTGGAGAAATTAAAGTATTAGAATTCAGTAGATAAGATCCAAAATCATGTTTTTCACCACTCACAAGTGAAGATCTGTAAATCCAACAGTTATTAACAGCTGTATTTATAGGATTTATATTTTTCACCATGATAAAATTGTTAGTATTCTTAGATCCATATTTTCTAGCATTTAGTAGTTTATATTTGATGCCCACATAGTTTAAAGTAGCAATCATAAAACCATAGTTTCCTACTCGAGCTTCTCTTAAAACATCAAGTAGAAGCTCAGTAAGTTTTCCAATAATTTCTTCCCCTGATGCTCCTCCTCCTGTTCCTGTTTGAGCTAAATTACACATTCCACCAGGCCTTTTACTATAAATCCAGATGGTAACTTCAATAACTTTATCTGATAAGTAAAGATAATCAGTCCAAGTAAATGCATTATAGTATTTATATGTTTCTTCTATTTGTGTGTCCATGAGCTTTACTAAGGATTTTCCAATTTCATTAATATCATTTTTAGTAATAAAATTGTAAAGTGAAATAGCATCCCAATTTACATCATCTTGAATGGTCAGATTTTTTAATTGGGAAAATATTATGAGAAGAGTAGAAATCCTCACCCTCATAAGAAAATAAGACATTAAGTTCCTAATGAAATAATTATCTTAAGGAACAAAGCCACATTTCATCAATTATGTCACCAAAAGCTGTCGTTGGTGTAGAACACGACTTGGTTGCGTATTTTTTGCTTTCTCTTTGGAGGGCTGCTGGCGGTGGAAAAATCGAGATTCGTCCATGTAAGAGCCCAATGGAGACGTGTTGTACAACATTCTCTAGCAATAATCAAAGAATCCCTCTGTGTCCAACTATTCCTCATTTGCCTTGGCAGGTACCTCATCGGTGAGAAAGACTATAAACCCTGTACATTGAATCACTGCGCAGCTAAATCTGCGGCACCTGGGGCCACGCCATGGTACCTGTTGTCAATTTTGTTTCTCAGAGCGTGATTGAGCCTATAGGAAACAGATTGACGTGGTAGTTGAGGTGGGCAAAACTCAACCACATGGCAGATTCTAGGAACTTTTCAAATTAATGGGAGAATCATGAGACTAAATGCTCCACTAACAAAGTATGGAGGTGGCAGAAATCCATAGTAGCAACATAGAAGATATGAGTTCAAGAGCAGCCAAAGCAAGAGAAAGAAGAAGAGAGGAGCCAAGTTGGACATCTTTGTTATGCCATGTGAGTTAGAAAACTTAGATTGTTGCACTCACCCCTTGGCAAAAGTTGGCAGTCCAACAAATTTGTGTTAATTTTGATAGTTAAGATTCTGTTTTGGATTCTTTATAATCTTTTGAAGATGTTACATAGCAAGTGGGAATTCTTTCCTAAGGTAAGAGGATGGTTCTTGAAGGTATGCGAGGCAAACTTAGAAGAGCATGTTGGGAAGAGCTCCAATAGCAAAATCTCAAGGTGGCACTACTGATGCATGGCCTTAAGAGGTGAGTGGAAGTTGTCCCAAAGCCAGTGGACAAGCAACACTAGAGGAGTTCACAATTTAGCTATCTGAGAATCTTAAGGGGAATTTAAATCTTTCTTACAACTCCTGGATGAGAACAGGGATTCTCTTCTACATCCAAATACCATGCCCAATAAATATTAACTTACAACATGCCACTAGAAGGTTTGGCATCAAGAATGGTTATCTATTTGATGTGAAATAAGGTGGTGATAGTGGTTTGGAGGTTGACCTAAAGGTCTTCACCCTTTAGTGATCTATCAAGATAGCAATATTCCCTAAGAAAGGAATCTAAGTGGAAAAGAAACATCAGGAAGTCAAGGTTGGAAAAAATTTACAAGGCTAAAGACTAATAAATGAGGAGCATTCTTTTTAATATAATTCAAAACCAGGTACCCAAGTATTTCATTATGAGGAGGATATATATGTTCCAATGGTGTATAACTCCATGTTTGGACCAATAATTCACAAGTAAGAGTCTTTTGGGGGTATAGAGGATCTAAATTTTTGCAAGATTCCTCAATTTTGGGAAAACTCAAGTTTCCCATGTTTAAAAGCGATGATTTAATAGATGAGAACCAAGACTAGTTGTTTACTCTCTTTACAACCAAAGAAATGAATGAATGGTTCATATATACTATGATTCTATAGGAAGGATCTACTATATCTATTGGTCTTGCTTGAGTTTAATGGAATATAAACAAGGATGAGTTCTTATTCCATCTTGGAGAATATGAGCTTGGTTTGGAGAATGATAGACAATTTTATAGATCAAATTATATTCAATCTAGGTTGATTAGTAAGTATAGAGTTAAAAATTTCTTTTCCACAAAGTTGAAAAGAATATAGTGCAAGAGTTAATATACTTAAGCCAATAAAGAGTATATAGAATTAAAAGTAATTATAGTGCATGTGATTATGGGATGAGATTTCAATATACTATCAACATGGATCCTTAGAACTTGGGAAATAAATGAGGATAAAATAGCCACTAAGGTTTGT